GCCGGGGTGGGAGGAGTAAGGAGCAATGACTCCAGAGCCACCCACCCACCCACCCCCATACCCGAGGGGCCTGTTCAGGATGGAAGCCCCTCCAAAGTAGGTTCTGAAATTTCCAGGTGCAGCTGGGAGGGCCTGTTGAAGACCCTCAGAGACAGAACCCATGGGACCTTTCAATCCTGGGAGATTCCCCACAGAGTAGCCACCAGGCAGGCTGAAGGTCAGGCCCCTGGCCAGCAATCCTTGGCACAGAAGCCTTTGTGTGCCCTTTAGTGTCAGCTCGGGGGGCCAATGTCCACTGTGTTGGTGAAGTGTGGTTGCCTGGATACCTCCAAGACCTGATATCGCACGGACCCAATGCATCCTGCTTCCTGGCCAGCTTCGTGTTTTGAATCTTGGTAAACCTCTGAGGGTTGGGCTTGTTATGCTTATCCCGGTCCTGCTTGATCATGGGGTAGCGGCCTAGCGGAAGTCTGGGCATGAGATCTTCATCTCGGTCAGGGAGACCCGGGATGTCATCATCCTCACCACCCCAGCCCCAGTACTCATTGCGGAAGCCATTGATTCTCAGGAACTGGGCTTTCCTCACACCCCACACGCCTCCAAAGTATCCAGCGAAGGGCAGCCAGAAGCCAAACTTGTCCATGGCAATGGCAAAGTGGCGGGGCTGGTCGCCACAGCGGTACAGGTTGTGATCATCCATGGGGACCAGGTCCACGTTTCTGAAGATGAAGCAGTCATAGGTGGCATCCTCCTTCAGCACCTCTAGGACGCCCACGTAGAGCAGCTTGGCCAGGCTGAAGGTGTCCTCCCCACACTGATTGATCATCTAGATGCTACAGTGCAGCTGCTAGGGTAAGTGGTGCTTCCGGCAGCCAAAGGGGAGAATGACAGCCACTGTCTGGGCTGGGGGACAGTCGGGCAGTGTGCAGCGGCCACCCAGGAGCACCCCTGGGTTCTCCCTCTGCACCCGCTCCAGGGACATGGGTGAGGGGAACTCAATCAGCAGCCGGCCCACAAGACCAGGTGGCGGGTCAGGACAGGGCGGCAGGATGGGAGTGGTGGAGCCAGGCCGGACAAGGGGCTCGGGGACTCAGGTAGTGGCGCTGGCTGGGAGCATACTGACCACTGTGGGCAGTGCCTATTTTGAGCATTTGCCCCCTGATGGTCAGTGCACATCATAGCGACCAGTCGTTCCACTGTTGGGTCGATCGCCGTATTAGTCTTTTATTATATAGGATAGATGAGGATCGAACGAGAAAACTAATGAAAGAGCTCTTTGTTAGGCATTAAAATGTAACAATGAAAGATGTTACCAAATTGAATCTAAAAGTGCTATCATAGTCCCAAATAGAGTTTACAGTGTACTGCACTGTGATTTTTAAGGCAGAATACTTCTAAGATTTTGAAAGTGGTTAATCCTACATGGCAATTTAAAAGTTCGGTTGCAGAGGGTAATTGTTCTTTGTCTTCGAGGGTACGTACAGTTTTTATTATGGAACTCAGCCTTACGTTTTTAAGCACAATCTTCAGTTGCAAAATATCAGAATTTTTAGAATAAATTGCTATTCTCTTTGTTTTCTAATACAGGAAGATACCATAAATATTACTTCAGAAGAGGTGAGCACATAAAGTATCACTGGTTCAGGAACAGGATCTGAATCATTCCAAGTGTTATTTTGACATTTAAAATCTGATATATGTCAGTTTAAGTACTTTATGAATATCTCTATTATATATATTGCCTCATTATACCTGGGAGAGAGAATATGGTAGGGGAGGAAAGAAAATGTCTATTCCTACTTCTTAGTAAAAGAAATTAATAATCTTTCAGACTTTCCATATTCATAAATAGGGGGTGTGCAGGAGGCAGCTGATTGATGTTTCTCTCTCATCGACCTTTCTAGCTCTCTATCTCTCTCCCTTCCTCTCTGTAAAAAATCAATAATATATTTAAAAAAAAAAGTGAAACAATAAATGGAAGCTTTCCCATAGTTAGAAAATTCTGCATTATAAATTTATCATGAACCTTTAAATTATGCTTTACAGTGATTGCTATAAGAAAACTTGGATGTTAAAGGAAAAAAACCACCCCAACAAACTAACAAATTCTGAATTTTGGTTTTCTCCAAAGGTAGTAATGGGTGTAACATTTTAGTAATTCTACAACTAAGATAAACTAATTATGTGAGGTGGAATTTAAAACTGACCCATTAAAGATATCAGGAAAGGCAAATAAATTTGGTGAAACATATTCAGTTTACATTATTTCTAATGGTAATGAATGATTTGGTTTTCAAAAAAATCACTTTCCAACAGCATTCTGGAAAAAATTTAAGCTCTAGAGCTGAGGTTCCACTGTACTTCTAGATAAACCAATCTGGATTTAACTATCCAGCACATAACTGTCCAGTTTTGATAATCCATTTCATTTTTAAAAAAATATTTTTTATTGATTTTCAGAGAGGAAGGGAAATAGAAACATCAATGATGAGAGAATTGTTTTCAGCTGCCTCCTGCATGCCCCATCCTGGGGATCCAAACAGAAACCAAGGGGAACCATGACCTACTTCCTGGTTGAATAGGTTGATGCTCAACCACTGAGCCACACCTGCCTGGCAATCCATTTAATTTTATATGAAATAAATAATATTATAACTTTCATTTATTCTGTTATCCTGAGACTAAATGTTTTAGGTCAGATTATGCAGACAAAACAGAACCAAAACCAATGCAAAAGTGATAAAAAAAAAAACAAACAATACCGCCTTCTAGGTTTGTTTTGGGTAGATAATGTATAAAGGAGAAATTCCTTCATCAAATTCCTTCGATTCCAGTCAAGGGCATGTACCTTGGTTGCAGACACATCCCAAGTAGGGGATGTGCAAGAAGCAGCTGGTCAATGCTTCTCTCTCATCAATGTTTCTAACTATCCCTCTTCCTTCCTCCGTAAAAAATCAATAAAAATATATATTTTTTTAAAAAAAGGAAAACAATGAAATTTTGTTGGGTTGAGGAAGTAGGCAATAGACCATTACTAACCATTGTACACTGTATATAACTAACCATTATATATTCATTATGCTATACTAACCTATCTAAGCTTATAGCTTTGACATTCCTTAACTCAATGCCATTTTAGTTCTTAATCTTTACTTCCCCCCCCACCTACAGTTTAGGGTAATTAAAGATTTTTATCTTCTAAACCTAAGGGAAGATATCTTCCAATCCCTAAAATCAAGCATATCAAGTTCAAAGGTTAACATGGGCCAAATAAACAAGGTTTAAGTTTATGTGGGCTGCAAAAAAATAAAAAATAAAAGCTTAAATTTTCATAGAAATGTAGGTTTATTTCAATAGAGACATGTTGAATACAAAGGGCTGAAAAAAATGGGTAATTGTTAACATAAAATAGAACATTTTAATAAAATTTTTTCTTGAAAATTAACTTACCAGACACCGAATAACTGCAAAAATTAATAAGCGTAATACAAATAAACCTATCTTTCTTGTTCTCCTAAAGCGAAATATTTCCTGTTGGGCACAGCAATCAAGTCAGTCCAAGACTAATAACGAGGTAATCAGGCTGCTAAATCACCTGCCCCTAAGGTGAGTAATGGAAATGAATGTGACACCATTAATTATTCATTATCGAATGTTGTCGTTAGTTAGTAATAATTATGTATAACAGGATACTGTAAAAATTAAGTTATGAAATTCTTATGAAAATATTTCTTACATACTGTTATATTGCTGGACTGCAATAATATTCGTGATGGGGGCTGCATGGGAGATTGACGTGCTTGTCTTAAATTCCCGAAAAGCAAGGGTAGGGAACCATTTGTCTGCCATGGGATATTAATAACATCATTCACAGTCTTACAATTGGCAAAGATTAGCGTCATTCAAGTTAAAATATGCTTTTCAATTTATCCCAGATTCTAAGTGACTCTTAGTAAACAAAGAATGCAAGATGTGAAACTCAAAGTGAAATATGTGGAACCCTGAGAAGAGGTAAAAGTACTTCTGAATAAGCTTGTTGAGGAAAAGCTAATTATTTGAAATGCCTTTATACATGTTGCACCCATATGGCCGACAAGCGTTATCGCCAAGATCCTTAGCTGTTCTAGTAGTTGCTGCGATGGCATTACCTTATGCAAACTTTGGAACATTTTCAGTGATGATGTCAAACCTGGGTTTATATCTCTTAACCCAACAGAATTGCTTATATCAACTAACTAACAGGTCAGAGTGATAGTTAGATTTAGTATAAAGATCATGGGAGCAAAATGACTCCACTCAAAGGGATCTACCAAATTTTTCAAAATCAACGTGTATCCTGTCACACAGGAACTACTCCACTCCCCCTTTGTTAAGAGAAGGCAGTAGTTACTACTCTGGCATCTTCTTACTCCCGATCTTTTCATCCCTTATCTGAAACAGTCATCTAATGACTCTTTTGTACACGGACTATTCCCGGTAATTGCCTTATTTTCAGTTAATCCATGTGAAATCTACATTCCTTTTGTACACCAACAAAGTCCTGTTTTCCCCGCGTCCCTAAGTTCCCAGGGCTATGACAAACGCTCCCCAACAACTGGCTCCAAAGCTCTGCCCTTGCAAACAAAAGCTGGCGGTGGTTGGAGGCTCCGCGCGCGAACCCCTTAAGGTGTCTCTGTAGGTCCTGGACTAGCAGCCACCCCACACACGAGCCTTATCACAAGTGCAGCTAGCTCCAGGCTCTGAGAAATTAAAACGGGCACAACACACCGGAGGGAGGCGAGCGATCCTGACGATCATGAAGGGTTGGGGGTGGGGAAAGAGGCTAAAGTCCAGGGAGGCAAGGCAGCCCCCTAGGTAACCTCGTGGATGCCACAGGCACTGGTTCAGGCTAGAGAGGTCCGGCATCCCGGAGCTCAGGAGCCCGCGGAGAGCAGCCTGGGCTGGCGGAGAAAGATGCACGCGCCACACCACCCTCCTCACCCTCCCCCAGGGTAGCTCACCGGTGCTGCAGCCCCTGGAGCCCCAGAGTGATCACATGGGGCACATCTAACTGCGTGGGCCACTCTCCGGAGCTGATGCACCCGAACACGCCGCATTCCTCCCGGATCCCCGACTCCTCCAGCTCCATGTCGCCGGGGAACCCACGTGGAGTGGGGAGCCGCCGCCGCCGCCGCCGGGTCTAAGCACCAACCAGCTGCCCGCTGGGCCCGCACCGCACAGACGCTCGCGCCCGCAGCTTCCACACCAGAGCCTCAACCCGCGCTACTGCGGCGGCGCGTGCTTTCCAAGAACGGGAGTGAACGAGACTAGTTTGGCCCCGCCCCCTCCCCCGAATTCACCAATGAGCGAGGGCGGAGGGCGGGGCTCCGAGGCTTAGAGGAGGGGCCACGGGCTCGGGAGGGGTGGAGCTAGTCCTCCACGGGAGCCCCGCGGAAAGCCAGTTCTCCGGCACGTGGAGATCTCCGTTATGTCCCAGCTTCGAAAGCTGGAGGGATGAGGCTTAAGCGGGGTCAATGTCACTTCTCTCGCAGGGGATGTACCCTTCGAACGGCCCTACCCCGTGCCTTCCCCCGCCGCCGTCACCACTTGGTGCATTCCAGCCTCTGAACCGCTCTCGCAGCAGAGAAGGGAGCCCCATCCGCGAGCCCTGGGGAGCGGGGAGGGGCCGCCTTTCCGCGCCACTTTCCGCGTCTGGTGGCACCGCGCCGGCGCGGGGCCCGAAGGGGGCGAGGCGGGGGCGGGAGGGGGCGGGGGGCGTCGCTGCGCCTGCGCGGCGGGAATCCTCGCGGAGCGGAGAGCGCTGGCTCCCGGAGTCCCAGTCCGCCCGGGGGCAGAGGCAGCCCGGGTTCCGGGGAGTGTCCGTGGACCGCGCCTCCCTCCCTCCCACGCCCCGTGAGCCTCTCTGGCCACTCCTCCTCCTCCTCCTTCCCCGAGTCCCGCGTCTCTGCCCAGCGCGGCCGCTGCTCGCAGCCCAGCCGGGATCATGGCGACAGCCGAGGGTGAGTAACGGGCCTCGGCCGCTGGTCTGGGCGCGGACACGTGCGCGCCCCGCGGCCCTGACCCCAGCCTCGCGCTGGCGGAGCCCGAGCGCCCTGTACCCGCCCCCTCTTCGGCCGGCGCGGGACGCACACGTGGCCCGGGCGCCGCCGCGCGGGGCGGTGTAAATAGAGCGCCCCCGGGCCTCCCCGAACTCTGAGTCCTCCGGGGCTGCCGCTGGGATTGGGGGTTGGGGGGTGGGGGGAGACAGTGAAGGAAAGGGATGATTAGAACGAGGAATGGCCAGCGAGTGGAGAGGTGCCTGGAAATCAATTTTGCAATCAATACGTTGCTGAAAAGACAAACACAGGAACATCTTGTGTTGACTCTTCCAATAGGTGACTCTTCTTGTTAGGTCAATAATGACCTTCTAGTTCAGAAAGTTAATCATTGAACCTGCTGGAAAAAAATTGCTATTTTTCTGTCCAGATTTTGGGTGTTTTTTTTAAAGGGTCTTGTGATGCCCTGGTGGCTTTGGAGAGCTCTGAAGCCAGCAGGCAAAAAGTTTCCTTGCTTCACCTTTGCGTTGATCACATTTGCATCATCAGTTTGCTGAATTTATGGTGAACCCAATCCTTATATTGGCGGGTCAGTATATTCTCTTCCACATAGAAAAATTGAAATTTAGGTTAAAAATTTTTAGACTAAACAAAAAAGGTTCAGATAATAACTCCGTGGATAATAATCCGTAGATCAGAATTTTCCTACCATGTCTCTAAACTGGTAGAATCTCAAAAATCTTGACTCTCACTTCCTTCCACCTTGCATATTCATGGCAAGTTAATCAATCCTGCCAAAATGTCACTTATGGTTTCTAAAAGGGACTTCCTTGCTCAAAAATGTTCAGTGCAATCCAAGAGCAATTAAAACCCAGTGTGAAATACCCTTTCATTCACATCAGGCATACTGCTTCCTTCCTGCCTCTTCAATCTTAACTTTGATTTTTCACCATTGTGATCCTAGGCCTACATTCCAGTAAGGTTAATTCACCCAAGTTCACTGCTCTCTCTTTGTTTATTTAGGCTCTATCTTCCAGAACAGGTCTGTCTAGTGAAACCTTATGTAACTTTCTTTACTAGTTGCCATGTTTTAAAAAGTAAAAAGAAACCAGTGAAGTGAATTTTAAATACATTAAATAAATGTATTAAATAAATAAAATGTATTTTATTTAGCCCAGTATACCCAAAATAGTGTCATTTCAATATATAAAGCAATATTAAAATCGTGATATTTTGCATCCTTTTTAAAAAAATATATTTTATTGATTATTCACAGAGAGGAAGAGAGAGGGACAGAGAGTTAGAAACATCGATGAGAGAGAAACATCAATCAGCTGCCTCCTGCACACCCCCTACTGGGAATGTGCCCACAACCTGGGTACATGCCCTTCCTTGACTGGAATCGAACCTGGGACCCTTCAGTCCGCAGGCCGACGCTCTATCCACTGGTTTCGGCTTGCATCCTTTTTTTATATTGAAATCCATTGTGTATTTTTATACTTGATTTACATCTCAGTTCTGAGTAGCCACATTTCAAGTATTTCATAGCCACATGTGGCTAGTGGCTACCTTATCGGTCATCAGACTCCTAGGTGTTCTTACCGCTTCTCTGTGCAAGGTCTATACTTTGCAAGACTTACTGGTAAGTTTCATGAAGTAGTCTCAATCCTCATTAGTCTTTTCTGAATACATCCACTAATTTGTAGCAGGCATTTTGGTACTTGTAGCATGTTCCCCATGATTAAGATATTTCTACCCATAATTGAAATTCCTACCCTATTTAATGACTAGGTTAAAAAGTATTGTTTCAACTGAATTGAGGAAGGGCAGTAGGTACAAATTTTGTTTTGCCTTTTATCTAACCTAGGCAGCATCTTGACTCTTTCTTGCTCTGTTATCTCCCAAAGTGAATCAATTGTTCTTAAAATTTTTACCTTTCAGCTCAGCTGGCATGGCTCAGTGGTTGAGCATTGACCTGCAAACCAGCAGGTCACACTTCGATTCCCCATCGGGGGCACATGCCTGGGTTGCTTGCTCTATTCCCAGTGTGGGGCAGGCAGGAGGCAGCCCCTGTCAGTGATTCTCTCTCGTCATCGATGTTCGTTCTCTCTTCCTCCTCTCCCTTCCTCTCTGAAATCAATAAAAATATATTTTAAATTTTTTTTTTTTTTTTACTGTTTAAATATCTCGAGTCTTTTTCCTAGACCAGGGCATTTCTTGCTTGTATTGCTGCAACAATATACTCACTGTTCTCTCCCTCTCTCTCCCCTTCTTCAATTTATTTTTCATACAGCAGCCATAATATTCTTTCTAGAGAAAGGGAGTTACATTTTATTATGCTCAGGCCCAGAGAAAAATGTGTCTTTCAAATTCTGGGGCCCCTAACATGGAGGAAACCTTTTCTATTTATCCTTTTTCTAGCTCTTTTGTCTCCCAATGTGGAATGAGACTTCCCAGCCTTCGGAGAAAGAAGGCCTATGTGCTGGGAAGGGGCCATGAGACCGTATCTCAAGGCCTGGCCTGGTGTCAGCACTGACAACTCTGATTGGGCAAAGTTTATGGCCTCTCTGGAATGGGAGTAATCTTATTTTCCTTATTATTTAAGCAAGCAAGAGTTTACAGAAGCCAAAATAGCAGGGTTAAAGTTTCAAACAGCAGTTTTTATATGAGATGGATGCTTCAGAAGGGCCTTTTAACCCTTGTCCATGAATCAATACATTATGATAGGAGATGGGGATTCATGCTCTAAATTAGGTCCCCTGCAGTGGTACGCCACTTTAGTTAAACTACACTGTAATTGCTTTGTTCAATGGTTCCCTCCACTAGCTGCAGATGACCTATTTCCCCAATTCCTGTGGAGGGCTTATCTCCTGCCATTAGTTTCTACCCTTAGCTGCCACCTCCCTCCCTGCCTTGCAGCAATGTACACACAAAGTGCTTCCAGACGTTCTGGCGTTCTGCATACATCCTTTCACCCCATGGTCTTTCTTTCACTACCACTTTCCTCTTCTGGTTAAATTTTGATCATTCCTCAGATCTCAGCCTAAATCCTCACGTTGTTCTTCTCTGAGGTCTAGACTAGGTTAGGTGGCTCCAGATTCAGCTTCTCTCAGACTCAGGTCACTTGACAGCATGAACTTCTAGTATATCCCTACTACCTGGCACATGGACATTAAAAAATGCTGATACTGAGAATGAGTGATTTCTCCCCTTGGAAATCTTAAGTCCTTGAATTTCTGTTATCTCTGATCGTCATCTAGGTTTTACAACCTGAATCAACCTTGGGTTCTCTTTGTTAGTTTCATGGTTGTTAATCCTCACCAGAGGATACTTTTTTCCATTGGTTTTTAAACTTATTGGGAGAGGGAGAGACAGAAACTTTGATGAACGGGGGATCGAGCCTGCAACAGGTGCATGCCCTTGACCGGAATCAAAACTGGGACCCTTCAGTTTGCAGGCCAGCAGTCTGCCCACTGAGCCAAACTGGCTAGGGCAAAATTGGGTTCTCTTGTCTTACTTTCTCAAAGTTTTCTGCAACTGTTAAGAGAAAGGGTTAATTAAGGGTGGGAGATTGGGAAGCAGGATTGAAAAAGAGAGAAAGGTGCTTCCAAGTGGGCTGTTGGTGGAGGTGCCTTCCCTTGCACATTAACTTGAAATCGGGAACCAATTTGGCTGAACTTGCTTATCTCGCCTGCCATGGAAAGCAGAAGTCAGGAAAAATAAAGCATTCCCTCTTCCCAACCCTGGTCCCTGCAAGCTAGGTTAGTGTGTGTGTGTGTGTGTGTGTGTGTGTGTGTGTGTGTGTGTGTGTATATATATATATATATATATATATATATATATATATGCAAATACTAGTATGTTTACATAAATTTTAATGAATCTTAATTCTACTTCAGTTCTGCTCTGAGAGTCAGGTTGATAGTGGAAAGACTACAGAATTTGATAGAAGATTCAGAAATTTGTCTGGCTCTGTCATTTCCTAATTTGTGACCTTTACCTTTTGATACTTGTTTCCTAATCTCTATAATTATTTACATAATAATTGACAAAATTGTGTGAGTCAAATATGATGATGCATGTGGAAATACTTCAGAGTATATGCAGATAAGTTTATTATTGTTGTTCATTTTTTCATCATGCTAAGTAGTCTTTACTCTTTAGCAAAATTCTTCCTGAAATATGTTTCCATTCTATTTCCACAGTACTGAACATTGGTAAAAAGCTCTATGAGGGTAAAACAAAAGAAGTCTATGAATTGTTAGACAGTCCAGGAAAAGTGCTCCTGCAGTCCAAGGATCAGATTACAGCAGGAAATGCAGCCAGAAAGAATCACCTGGAAGGAAAAGCTGCAATCTCAAATAAAATTACTAGCTGTATTTTTCAGCTGTTAAAGGAAGCAGGTAAGTGGCTCTCCCAGTAGCCTCTTCCTCCATGTTCTCTCTCACATACACATACTGGTGGTCTTTTCAGGGAGAAATGACACATTGTTTGTATTAACAACATGTTGATAACTAGTTATATAATTTTTTAGTTATGATAGGAAGCAGATAAGTGGCTTCCCCCACAGCTTCCCTTCATCGGGGAGGTATACACACAGCACACTCTAATCTCTTTCATGAGTAGGTGACACTATTTGTATTAACATTTTGTTTGGAGATACCTCACAAGTAAGCTTAGTAAAATCAAACCAGGAACTCGGATTTCACTGAAACATCTTTCTTGGTTTGGAATTAGTAAGTAGTAGTATTTAGTTAAGAAGAATCTTCCCTGCAACTTCTAAGACACCTTCCTAAGGGAGACTTACCTATGAAGGACCTTAAGGAATGTGCCTATGAAGGAAGCAAATTCTGGTGTTAGGCAACTCTAATTGATAAGTTGAAATTTAGTCCCTGTAATTCTGTGTTCCATCCTTGGATATAATACAGAATTTAAAACCTCTCTTCCACTTGAAAGTTCTGAAAAGTGTTTGAAGACTAACCACATTTCATCCTGCTATTCCCCCCAAGTGAGGGATTTGGACTAGATCAAAGATCTTCAGGATTATCGCCTACTCCAAAACTGAAGATTTTCCAATAGAGAAGTCTATTATAAAGATAAAAACAAGATCAGAACATCCTGTGAAGTGAAGGAAGGAGAATTAGGATAATGTATTTTTCTGCAAAGAGTCACTCAACATCTGATTGGTCTGTAGTGTATGAAATCTTAACCTGTAAAAGATTTGCATTCTTTCCCTTTAGAGTCTCATTGTCTTAGATCATTCAACCTTTGAAGCCTTGGTTCCTTAGTATAAAATAAAACCTTTGTTTTTTATCTCAGTTATAATTTTATAATTTAATAACTTTGTCTCCTTTTATTTGCACTTTTCCCAGTTTCCCTTTCATTACTAATGCTTTCAGTAAGCATTAGTCTTCCTTAAATCAAAAGGGGAATATAATATGTTTGTTGCCCGTCAAGGTAAACATGCCTGCCTTATACAGAATAATGTAATTTATGCAGCCTTGTCAAATTTGGTGCCTGCCCCACCCTTGACAAGCACTGGCCCAGAGGCTGCCACAGAAACACTGTGGCTCATGGGCCCTGATCCCCTCTCCTGGGCTTCAGGGATAAATTTGGCTATAGACATCAAGGGAAACAAAAAACAAAATATACAATTTAAGTTAAATACATCTGTCAGAAAAACAAGTAAATAAATAAATACATGTCAGTACAGAATGGGTTCTAGATAGTTTTGTCTCTTCCAAAGTACCATTTCACTGTTTGTTAATATTCACCCAAGGATACTTTTTCCACTGATTTTTAGAGAGGAAGGGAGGGGAAGAAAGAAACATGGATATAGAAGAGACGCATCTATTGGATACTTCCCACATGCACCCCAACCAGTGCTGGGGATCAAGCCTGCAACCCAGGCATGCACCCCTGCCTGGGAGTCAAACCCAAGTTACTTAACACTGAATTGTTAATAAGTGTGTTTCTATGTATCCACAGTAATTGCACATAGCTGTGGGAATGTGTGTATTGGTAACTAGTAACCCTAACTAGTACATGCTCTTTAAAGTAATGGGAGGTAAGTACAACCCAAACTTTTATTTGCTTACTTAGTAAGGCACTATCTATATGTACACTTAATAGGGTTTAAGAACAAGTGAATTAGAGTTATCCAAGTTGTTTAGGTTTCTCCTAGTTCGACTTTGGAAGTCTTGCATCTCATGTAAGTAGGAAAGTTGATTACCTTAAATGAAGTACTCTTTTTTTTTCTTTAAAAATATATTTTATTGATTTTTTACAGAGAGGAAGAGAGAGGGATAGAGAGTTAGAAACATCGATGAGAGAGAGTCATTGATAGGCTGCCTCTTGCACGCCCCCTACTGGGGATGTGCCTGCAACCAAGGTACATGCCCTTGACCGGAATTGAACCCGGGATCCCTCAGTGTGCAGACCGACACTCTACCACTGAGCCAAACCGGTTTCGGCAAATGAAGTACTCTTAACAATTCTCTTTAAACTATTGTGTTTGACACATTTAACATAACTGAAACTTACTGGTTCACAGGAAATGTTGAAAGGTATTTTCCAAGCTTTATATGTTGTAAAATTAAAGAAAACCTAGGTTTTTTTTAAATTCTTGAATAAATTGGTTTTTGGACAGATTAAGAGTTCTCTTAAGCTTTATGTAATTTTTATGTGCTAATCCTATGAGGTAATATGCAAATGACCATTATGCCATAATGCATAACAACTGATCAGCAGGAGGGCGGGGGGGGGGGGGGGGGCAGTGAACTATTATACAAGCCCAGTGGCCAGCTGAAGCAAGTGGCAGTGAGCTACAAGTGCATGAATTTGTGCACAGGGCCACCAGTAGCTGAATAAATGCTATGTATAAGTAATACTGTTTTTCCCTGGAAATTATATTACGTGCTGAACCTAAATTATAAGATTTGTCCATTTGGTCTCAGTGTTTAAAAATCAGAATTTAACCTTTAAGTTTCAGCTCTCCCACAAAAATGCACTGAAATGACATTTCGGTGTGAGAGTAGTGATATGATTAACAATCCTACAAACCACGGATAGGAAGCTGGGCAGCCTTCCCATGGATGGCCCCAGGAATATATGGGCTGTTTAGCTGTCATACATGGCCATTGTAATTCAGAGTATGAAGTAACATATTTACATTTTCTTAGTAATCTTGATGGCTTTGAATTTTGTAGACAACAGACCAATAGGGGAAGATCTTTTTCTCATCGTTTAATGGTTAGCATGTGTATTAAAAGGGATCATATCATTTAACTGGATCAGGTTTTTTAGAAGCTTTTTGTTTTGTTTTTTTTCCTGTACAGGTTATTACCATAAGTTGATTCTGTGCTTGTGTGTGTGTGTGTGTGTGTGTGTGTGTGTGTGTGTGTGTGTGCTTTTCATTCCCTTAGATGTGTTCATGTTGCAGGGTGGGGGCTGGGAGGAGTTTCTCGGGGTAAAAGTAATTGTTTATGTTTAAGCAATAGATTTGGACAAATGAGCAAATATGACTAATGATTAACAGTCTGAAAAAGAAGAGCTCTTGAAGGCAGGCAGTGAGGCACGTAGTAGTTAATCGCCTTGACTTAAGGATTGATGTCAATCACCTGCCAATGAGCCCAGTCATTTTCTGTTTATGCAGCATACAACAATTTATTTACCCCTTCCCATTGAATTTTACTGGTCAAACCCAGAGGAGATGCAGAGAAATTAGCGTAGGTTTTGAAACTGGACACTGCACTTCCAAGTCCAGGCACCATTACTCACTGGCAGCATACCCTAGAATTACCACTTCATTTATTGAGTCTCTACTGCTTTCCCTGTAAAATGTAAATTAATAATACCTACCTCAAAAATTTTATGTTTGGTTAAATAAGATAAGGCATAAAACACTCAGAACAGTGCAGAGCTTTCATAAATGTAGATTCCTTTCATGTATGGATACATGCATATAATCAAAGATCTCCAATCCTTTCCTAAGAAAACTTTTGTCTTAGAGGATTAGATTGGCAATGGAGGTACTAGCATTGCAGCCTTGAGGTGAATATTATTATATTAAGCCCATGTGGGTTCGTTCATTTGCGTTAATGCTCTAGTATTACTTTGTATTAGGATATAATAACACTTTGGGGACAGGTAGTATAGTATAGTATAGTATATCATAGTATAGTGATTAAGTGGGCAGCCCAGAGAGTTCAGTACAGGTTGGAAATCCTGCTATACATACCTACTACTAGCTGATGTAACTACTGTGCCTCAGTGTGTTTATCTGTTTTGTTGGATAATCATACTATCTACCTTATCAGGTGTTATTAGGGTTAAACAAAAAGAAAATAAATTAGCATTGCCTGACAAATTAGGTCTTGATACTTTTAAAAGTTACTTTGTGCTGAAACCCGTTTGGCTCAGTGGATAGAGCGCCGGTCTGTGGACTGAAGGGTCCCAGGTTTGATTCCGGTCAGGGGCATGTACATTGTTTGCGGGCACATCCCTGGTAGGGGGTGTGCAGGAGGCAGCTGATCGATGTTGCTCTCTCATCGATTTTCTAGCTCTCTATCCCTCTCCCTTCTTCTCTGTAAAAAAATCAATAAAATATATTAAAAAAAGAAAAAGTTACTTTGTGACAAAATATACATACATAAAATTTACCGTTTAAGCCATGTTTAGATGTTACAGTTCTTGGCTACGCTATGCAGCCATCACTACTATCTATTTCCATAACTTTCATTTTCCCAGACAGAATTCCTGACCCATTAAATAGTAGTTCTCTATTCTCCCTTCTCCCTAGCTTCTGGTATCCTCTGTCTTAGATTAATCTATGAATTTGCCTATTTTAGGTACCTCATATATGTGGGATAAATTATATTCATTCTTTATTTCACTTAGCATGTTTCCAAGTTTAATGCATGTTGTAGCATGTTTTAGAATTTCATTCATTTTTATGATCGAATGTATATACTACATTTGTCTATACATTCATCTGTTGATGGACACTTGGGCTGTTTCTCCCTTTTGGCTATTAGTAATTAATAGTATGCTGTTGTAAATATTGGTGTGTGAGTACCTGCTTTCAGTTCTTTTCAGTATAGCCTTTTGTAGAAGTGTTATTACATCACTATTATTAGTTTCCCAATAATAGTTTGAATAAGAGAGAAGGGAAAGGACCAATTATTTTATTAGTTCTTGGCCAAATTGGCCATTATGTCCATGCTGCTACTTTTTTGTTTTTTTGTTTGTTTGTTTGTTTGTTTGTTTAAGGATAATTTACTTCTAATATAAAAAGAAAAAAGCTACCCAAAATTTAAGATTATAGCTGATTGTGCTAAATAGATCGATATTTTATAAGGCCTGGATAATAATGGGTGATAGAACATGAGAATCCTGCAACCAAATCTAATGGTTTAGTGCCACTTAGATAAGTTATGTGCCTTGTTCAAAGTCAAGTACTTATTGGCAGATGTTCTCAATAAGTATTTCTTGAATGAAAAAATTAATGAGTGATAAAGACACTGGAACTCAGATCTTCTGTTCTATTGTATATTTTGCCATGTGACATGAAAATGAAATAGACCTGAGTATTTTGATAAGTAATAGTAAAACATTAATTTTTCCTATTTTTACTTTAAAAAAAGTACATTTATTTTTGATGGTGTCATTTAAGGGAAATGTAATTAGATAGGATTTTGTTTTTTTGTAAGGATAGAGTTTTATTATGCCTCAGATCTACTTTCTAAAATACAATTTTAATGGTGTTTTTGTTTTGTTCATATATAGGTATCAAAACTGCTTTCACCAGAAAATGCGGGGAAACCGCTTTCATTGCACCAAAGTGTGAAATGATTCCAATTGAATGGGTTTGTAGAAGAATAGCAACTGGTTCTTTTCTCAAAAGAAATCCTGGTGTCAAAGAAGGGTACAAATTTTACCCTCCTAAAGTGGAGATGTTTTTTAAGGTATTTATGCATCTGTCTTCCTATATCATAACTACAAACTTAAAATCAAGTCAAATATTTAAACATTAAATCGATGATGTTTCTCTCTCATTGATATTTTTATCTCTATCTCAAAAAAAAACAATTAAAAAAATTTTTTACATTACAGTTATCACTCCAGAAATATGTCAATAATGTATACTTCCATTAGCAATCATAATTCAGCTTTGAAAAGGAAACACCTTTGAAAATCTATCTTACTTTCTACCAAAGCAACTAACAAAAATAATATTAGCAGTTACTATGAAGAAAAGTAGCAATTCAAAAAAATTGTTAATGTACTCTTCAAGAGTTTGAAGTAAAGGCTACTATGAGGTGTCTTTTATATTCTAAGTAGAGCCCTGGTGCACAAAATTCATGCAAGGGTCTCAGTATTCACTTTGTCCAGTCTAATTAGCACATTACATTTTTATTATTATAGATACAGAAAAACTATTATCAATGTCTCTTATAAGCAAGAACATACAATAAAGGAAGAAGGAGTCAGTGGTTATGAATTTGTATTGGTTTTCTTTATTGAAACTGCTTTTTTCTTCCCATACTCGTGTTTAAATTAGTTTCTAGAGATAGGCCAAATTCTTTCAATACTTTATAATTAGAATGTTACCCAAATACTTTAAGTTTTAAAGTAACTATTGAGAATATACCAACTGAATATATTTGCTGTGAATTAAAGAGTATTTTAAATAAAATTAAATCTTTAGAGGAATCGTTTTAGAGAAACATTTCTGAGGATTCATGCTCAACAAATAAAGGTCTTCAGATTATTATTAGAAAAGTTCAAACATCTATATTTAACCTAGAGACCCAATGCACAAAAATTAGTTCAAGAGTAGGCCTTCCTTCCCCAACTGCTGGCACCAGTTTCCCTCCTGCACCCAGGACCCAACTTTGTCAGAAATGACGTTTGGAATGACATCTGGTCTAATTAGTATATTATCCTTTTATTATTATAGATTAATTGTAACCCTATACTTTATTTTCAGGATGATGCCAATAATGACCCACAGTGGTCTGAGGAACAACTCATTGCTGCAAACTTTTGCTTTGCTGGACTTGTTATAGGCCAGACTGAAGTGGATATCATGAATCACGCTACACAGGCTATTTTTGAAATATTGGAGAAATCCTGGTTGCCCCTGGATTGTACCCTGGTTGATATGAAGGTACAAATAAAATGGGGATTTGAAAGTAAAAAATTACAACTGAGAAATGTCTTTAGAAGTATGGTTTTGAAAAACTTTTCTTCGGTGATCTGCTGTTTCTAGATTGAATTTGGTGTTGATGTCACTACAAAAGAAATTGTTCTTGCTGATGTTATTGATAATGATTCCTGGAGACTCTGGCCATCAGGAGACCGAAGCCAACAGAAAGACAAACAGGTAAGTGATATTTCAGGGTGGTTATTTTTTTTTCATTGCAAGATCAGGCTCCGGTAAAGGAGAAAGGAAAAGTGGGAGGAAAGAAAGGCAATTATTATTTACTAGCTGGGGGTGTCCCTCAACCCGGCCTGTACACTCTCGTAATCTGGGACTGCTCAAGGGATGTCTGACTGCCAGTTTAGGCCTGATGCTGCAGTGATCCCTCTTGCAATCCAGGACCGCTGGCTCCTAACCGCTGGCCTGCCTCATACTCTCTAACTGCCTCTGCCTCAGCCCCCACCACCATGGTTTCATTGAGAAGGACATCCAGAATGACGTCTGGAAGGTTGTTTGGCTGTCCTGTCTAATTAGCATATTATGCTTTTATTATTATAGATTAATGTCCCGGTGTACAAAATTCATGCACATTAAAAGGGAATTAATTAGAGGTAATATTTTAGTATTGGTATTTGCCTTTTCTCTATAATAGAAGTGTCAGAAATGAAAGAAAAGTAGTAAATAAATATGAAAATCTCCCTCCTGTCAGAATTTGGGACATTCCCTGGGATCCAGAGTCAAGTCCCTGCCCACCCAAGGGTGTGCCTCAAAATCGCAAGAGACCCATAATCAGCTAGCCCCACCCCCGTCAAGCCTCCCCATTCAGGGAGTGCAGCCTAAGGTCCCTTGGTGCCATTGCAGATCCTCCAGCCTGGCCCCGGGGTGGGGGGGCTCGGCTTTAGGTCCCCTGGCCTGACCTCAGGTTCCCCAAACCCAGTGCGAGGTTCAACAACCATTTGCATATTAGCTCTTTATTATATAGGATTATGATTTGAACCTTTGTTGTTCATTGCATTTTTAGTCTAATTCAGGAAATGAATTCATAAACTTAGATACATTTTCAGATATACCCTTTGCTAGGCAAACTTCATAATCTGTACCCAAAACTCAGAAACCAAAAATTGCAGATAACAAGAATATTACTAATTAGAATACTTGCAGCCTCAACATTCTGTCTTTATTTTTTAGTCATATCGTGACCTCAAGGAAGTAACTCCTGAAGGGCTCCAGATGGTAAAGAAAAATTTTGAGTGGGTTGCTGAAAGAGTACAGGTAAACCTTTTGTTGTAAATCTACGCTAGATTGTTTTTTTTTCTCTAAGAAATTCTTACTTCAAAGAGGAAAACAGCCTTGGCTGGTGTGGCTCAGTTGACTGAAATGTCATCCTGTGCATGGAAAGGTCTCGGGCTCCATTCCTGATGGGGGTGTGCTTGGGAGGCAACTGATTGATGTTTCATCTTGATATTTCTTTCTCTCCCTGCCTCTCTTCCTCTTTTCCTCCTTCCCTTTCTCTTCCCCCTCTCTCTTCATCTCTAAGATCAATTAAATTTAAAAAAGTTTTTTTTTTAAAGAGACAGTGCAGTGCTTTTCTTTTCCTGGTGATTTAAAGTAACAGAGCATCTTTAGGAAATTCACCAGCTGAACTGTCCTCCTTAGCTGGATCCCTGGATCCCCTGCTATTTAGGTTTCCATTACACTTCTCCCAAATCCAATTGAAACCAAGAATCCTTGTTTCCTCTGGCCCCTGCAAGAGAAGTCTTGCATTTCTTACCAACCTACTCAGAGTTCCATTAGCCTGGGTTCCATGATCAGAGTTCAGAATTGGAGTTCCATGTGACATTAAAATGTCACGTTAACAGTTATGGTATTGTGGTTACTGTGATGCCATGGGAATTGAATAGGCTGGGTGGCCATCCAATGGTCATAGCTATCTTTCAGTCATCATTTCTATGGGAATATGCATTTGGATTCCATGTGACTAATAAAAGATTTGTAAAACAACCTCTGTATTTTGGCTGATTATGCCTTAAAACCTGCATTAAGCAGAATGTACTGCCTTAATGGGTTTGGCTCAGTGGATAGAGCATTGACCTATGAACTGAATGGGTCCCAGGTTTGATTCCAGCCAAGGGCACAAGCCTGGGTTGCAGGCTTGGTCCCGGGAAGGGGGCATGCAGGAAGCAGCTGATAAATGATTTTCTCTCATCATTGATATTTCTATCTCTTCCTCTCCCTTCCTCTTTGAAATCAGTAAAAAAAAAAATTAAAAAACAACAATACCAATGTACTAAAAATCTTAAGATAAAAATAAGTTGAATTTCTATTCTTTGCTTATTATAATAAACAGTTTAGTTAAAAAACGATACTCGCCCTAACCGGTTTAGCTCAGTGGATAGAGCCAGACTCAAGGGTCTCAGGTTTGATTCTAGTCAAGGGCATGTACTTTGTTTGCAGGCACATCCCCAGGAGATGTGCAGGAGGCAGCTGATCGATGTTTCTAATTCTCAATCCCTCTCTCTCTTCCTCTCTGTAAAAACATCAATAAATTATATATATATTTTTAAATCATACTCTTTTGGTTTTAATTAGGAAGAACTCTTTATAAAGTTTATTTTGAAAAATAAATTCTCACATTTTGTTCTGTTTATCTTAAATTTGGTCTATTAAAAAAGAAAATACTGTCCATATGTAATTTTAGTATAAACTGTAGCTCTGTAAATTAACTCGTTCCAATATTTATCTATTTTTGTCTATCTCCTTTTACATGTGCATGGTTTTCTCTTCCAGTTGCTTCTGAAATCAGAAAGTCAGTGCAGGGTCGTAGTATTAATGGGCTCAACTTCTGATCTTGGTCACTGTGAAAAAATCAAGAAGGCTTGTGGATATTTTGGCATTCCATGTGAACTTCGGGTAACCTCTGCCCATAAAGGCCCAGATGAAACGCTGAGGATTAAAGCTGAGTACGAAGGTAAACATCCGATAACGAGCATTTCAGGACATTCTCCAGATTTTGCCAGAGAATTTTATGTTTAGGCTAGTAATGCTTATAAAAGAGTGGATTAAAGAGAATGATTTGACAATTCAAGCAGGGAAGAAGATAAAGACTACAATTAGTCTAAGAAAATGTATATTTTATTGATTTATCAGAGAGAGGAAGGGAGAGGGATAGAATAATAGAAATATCCATGATGAGAGAGGAACATCATTGATTGTCTGCCTCCTGCATACCCTTGGCAGGGAATTGAGTGTGCAACCTGGGCATGTGCTATCACTGGGAATTGAACCAGGGGCCTCTTGTTTCCTTACTCAACGCTGAACCACTGCGCAACACAGGCCGGGCTGTCTTTACCTAAAGAAGCCCCTCAAACACTATTTCTTAAATGCTCCAACAGAAAATTACAGAAAACCTGACATTAAAGCAGCAGATCAAGTATCTTTAATGACTAGGTTTTCCTGAGAGGCAAACATGCAATTAAGTAGTAATTTCAAAACTGAGTATATAAAAGAAATCTTTTGATGAAATAGCAGTGAACTAAAATGTAATGGAGCCCTAGAGATACAACCCAATGTTTTTCAACTGGAAAAAAATGTTTATGAATATTCTTTTCAAAGGTCATTGCTACAAGAGTGAAATTAAGTGTTTGTTTTTTTTTAGAGAGGAGGGAAAGGTCTCAAAATTCTTTGATAATCACAGTAATAAAAGCCAGACCTCTTTTTCCAGAAAACTGCAAAGGAGCAATTTATAAATTTATCAAAGAATGAAATGTTTTAGGGATGTGTTAGAAAATAGATTGAAGGGTTTTAAATATTTGAGTACTATACTTAAGTTCCTTTCATCTCTTTTAAACCTGAAGCTCTAGCCTCTGTTACTCTTTGGAAGGACAGGTGTTCTGGTGGTGGTGTTCTGTTTCCTTAATCTAAGCGGCAATAATAGAAGTGGCTTTGAGCCATTCCCTTTAAACGTTGATACCTGCTCCTCTCCTTTAACCTATAAATCTCAAAATGGCCAAACCTATTCTTGCTACTTCACTGCTTGATGTATAAGTGGTAGAGTGAACGTTATATTTAGAATATATAAATATATAATGTTGTATTTATGCTTTTGCTAGAAACTGATGAACTGAAGGAGTTAAGACACATGAGCTCTTATTTTCAACCTATCTTTAAATATCTTTTAGCATAATGATAAACTTGTGATTTCCCTAGGGGATGGCATTCCTACAGTCTTTGTGGCAGTGGCAGGCAGAAGCAATGGTTTAGGACCAGTGATGTCTGGTAACACTGCATACCCAGTTATCAGCTGTCCTCCCCTCACTGCAGACTGGGGCGCGCAGGATGTGTGGTCTTCTCTTCGACTACCCAGTGGTAAGATTCATTGAATTTTTTAAAATTCTTTATTAAAAAGTTTAAACATGCACAATAGTATAGAGAATCCTAAAATATATAAAAACCCAGAGTCTGTAACATGCAAAACAACCAAAGGCTCGGGCGACTCGAAGTCAGTGCTGGGTGGTAACCCACTTCGGGGTCTCCAACCCAGCACCGACTGCTGAGGGGCTGCAGATCAGGCCCGAAGAGAGGCCTGGACAGAGAAGTAGGGTCTGATCCATAGACTCCATGGCAGCTGTTGATCAGCATTTGCCTCTCTCTTTCGCTCTGGGCCTGGTCAGCAGCCATGCCTCTCTCTAGGGCCTCCGCTGGGGCTGCTGATCAGCCTCGCCTCTCTAATCAGGCCCAGAGGTGATATGCCCGGAGATGCTGACTGGCATAGAAACCAACTAATCAGAACAAATTTGGATGAAGTGTGAGGTGTCGGTGGCTGCCCAGGTCACGACCCATAGGTTAAGAACTGCTAGCGGGGTCGCCTAGACCATCAGAAAACAGTTATTTACATTACGATTCATAACAGTAGCAAAATTAGTTATGAAAATAATTTTATGGTTGGGGGTCACCACAACGTAAGGAACTGTATTAAAGGATTGTGGCATTAGAAAGGTTGAGAACCACTGAGGTACAGAAATACTTGAGATAATATTTATTATTATCTACTAGAGGCCCAGTGCACAAAATTCATGCAGGTGGGGGGGTGGCTCAGCCAAGCCTGCAACCTCTCCAATCTGGGAGCCCTCAGGGGATGTCCTATTGATGGCTTAAGCCCGAGCAGGTCTAAGCCACAATCTGGCCTCCCTCTGCAGGAGGTGACTGGGCTGGTTAGGGGAAGGCACCGCCCCCATTACCCTGGTGCTGCTGCCATTCCCAGCTGCCATAGCCACCAAGGTGTTTTCATCCACACAGACTCCAGTCCCTTCACCACAAAAAAATGAGAATTTTAGGCATTGTCAAGATGTCTTTTTCATAGGTTATGACATTTCTTCCTTTTTTTATTTTTATTTTTTTTCCTAACCAGCAGTCAGAAAAGGTGTTTCTCTGCAGCTCAAGTGCAGAAGCAGGACTGCCAGAATGCTGAAGCTGGCAGACCCTGCTGTCTGTCTGCAGTCAGTGGCCCCTGGCAGACAGGCCCTTCTGTCTGTCTGCAGGCCCCGGCACCTGGCAGCCAGGCCCTGCTGTCTGTGGGCCTGCACGCTGGCTTGCTTGCCCCAGCGCGAGGCAGCCAGGCCCTACTCTCTGTGCTTGCCTTGCCCTGCCCGCCAGGCCACCAACCTTGCTGTGATAGGAGGCTGTGGGCTGCGGGGACAGGACACAAGTGTTCCATGTATTTCCTGGTGACTGGTTGTCTATCTGGTCGTGACGGCCCTAAGCAATTATTAGTTTACATGGTTAACAGGACTTCTCTGAGTATAAAATAGTTTGCTTAAGTAGTATTTTCAGTATTAATTGACAGCTCAATTTTCTGTCTTTTCCTTTCTGAACCAATAGGTCTTGGCTGTTCAACCATACTTTCCCCAGAAGGATCAGCTCAGTTTGCTGCTCAGATATTTGGATTAAACAACCATTTGGTGTGGGCCAAACTGCGAGCAAGTATACTGAATACCTGGATTTCCTTGAAGCAGGCTGACAAGAAAATACGAGAGGGCCGTTTATAAGAAAAGAACATCAAAGCATTTTTTTTTTTTAGGAGAAAAACTATAATTTTCTAATTTAGCTGTAGAAAAAAAATCAACCAAGGTGAAAAGATTTTAAATCAGAGAAAATAAAACTTATTAGTGAATAATTGCTCCTCTAGATTCATGGATTAGTAGAATATATGTACATATTTAAGAACATTTTAAAATTAACCTCTCCCACTATATGGTTATTACGAGGTGGGTAACAATCAAATATATTTCTTAAGTGCTAATCGTGTTCTATTATAGAGCTCTGAATTTACTACTTATATCTCAACCCATGCGTTCTAAGAAGTTAAAATGATTTTAACTAAGAGCAACTGATAAAGAGCAATAAAGTTCTCGTCCTCAATTTGATCTTTACAGAATTCTGAGGATGTGGTTTTTTATTTGCAATCAGTATCTCAGAAAATGGTGTGTATCTTTAGCTATTGATAGACATGTTTTATTTTATTTATTTTTTTTCTCAAGAAAAGTTGAGATTGGTGGGGAGGGGAGGGAAGACACAAAATAAGATGAAGAGGCAATGTGAAAGCCATAGAAAGGGGACTTTTCTGAGAAGTCCTGATGGGTCTCAGAGCAATTTGCCGTGGAGAAAAAGTAGAACCACCTTGACCTTCTAAATGACTTAGTGAATCTTACTTGGCTGTGGTGGGAATCTATGTGGATCATAACATTCTTTTCATTCTGATAATACATATTTTAGCCACACTAATAATCCCCATTGTACTATCATTTTCAGAAATTCAAATCTCCCAGGTGATAACCATAACTAGTTTTCTTACCTATACTAATAAAAGAGTAATAGCAAATTGGTCACAGCACCCTCACAATAACGACCATATAGCAGGCTGATTGGGGCAACCAGGCTGGCAGGAGGATTAGAAAGAGTTGGCCAGGCCAGCAGAGGGGGCAGTGAAGGGCAGGGGGAGGGGTGGTAGGGGGCAGTTGGGTGCAACCAGGCTGGTGAGGGGAGCAGTAAGGGGCGGCCAGGCCAGCAGACAAGGGCAGTTGGAGTTGATCAGGCTAGCAGGGGGGGAGCACTAAGGGGCAACCAGGCTGGTGGGAGGGAGCAGTTAGGGGCAACCAGGCTGGCAAGCAGAGGTGGTTAGGGTTATCAGGTTTGGGGGGGGGGGGCAGTTAGGGGCGATTAGGTAGGCAGGCAGGCAAGTGAGCAGATAGGAGCCAGTGGTCCCAGATTATGAGAGGGTAAGGATCGGGCCAAAACTGGCTGTATGACATCCACCAAAGGGTCCCAGATTGGAGAGGGGGCAGGCTGGGCTGAGGGGACCTCTTCTCTCACCCCTTCCCCCCCACTCCACCATGCATGAATTTCACACACCGGGCCTCTAGTAACAATATAAATCTGTGTACCCAGTAAGTTGTTACAGAGAAGTATTATAGCACATCAGTCTATAAACCTTATAGATTGGGATTCTTTTATGTTATATAGCCATGAGGATTTTATAGGTCACTAACTTTTATCTGAGTGTCCATGAAACCCCTTAAACTTAGCATGACTCTTACCAATGACCTACAGTCTATACTATTTTATCTCTCAAACATTAACAAGCTGGCATTTCTTACCCTACTTTCACCTAATCTCTGGTGGAGTGTGTTTGGCTTACCCACTCCTTTCCTGGGGTAGACGACAACATATTCCAACATCTCTTGATTATTTCTCTATTACTCTTTCCTCTTAAATATTGATGTTTCCTACTATTGAGATTTTCCATTGTTTACAAACGGTCGAATCATCTTAAGTGATTCAGCTAAAACTAGCATTACTGACTTGCATCTATGTCTGCAAACTTGTATATTCAACTGTCCATCTCTGTGTCTGAATGCTCCAAATTTAATTCATCTTCCACCAACCCTGTAACTGGCTACACTTGTTCTCCCAAATGAGAAGCTTGATTTCATCCTCAATGTTTTTCTTGACTTTTCACATCTAACTCATCACCAAATATTGGATTTACCCTGTTACCCATTCTCTGTACAAAAGCCTCAAGAACGGGTCAAATTCTACACATAATGTGAGTTCTCAACACAACCTTTTTGAAGTTTTTCCAAGGACTCACAACATATTTTTATTTATTTATTTATTTATTTATTTATTAAATATATTTTATTGATTTTTTATGGAGAGGAAGGGAGAGAGAGAGCCAGAAACGTCGATGAGAGAGAAACCAGCCTCCTGCACACCCCCCACTGGGGATGTGCCCACAACCAAACAACATATTTTTTTTAAAAAATCTCTTGCAACATTGACTCCTTTGAAAATATGAATGCTTTTTACCCTCTTTCCAGGAAAGTATGCACACTAAAGTTACCAACTGATCCCACTGTTTGTGTAGTTCTCTTGAAGCCTACACAAGGACTGTGGGTTAAGTAGGGGAGTTGCTCACAATTATTGTACTATCTCCTTTTGGTACCTTTACCTCTTAGAATGTCCTCATTTGTGTCATTAAAGCTATTCATTACTGTACAGAACTTTATTATCTATACAAAACGATCCTTAATGACCGCTAGCTCCAATAGCTACAAGTTCTTTCTCTTTTGGATTGTACACTTCAAAGGAGAAAATACAATTTTACACTTCATTTCCCTCAAACTGCCTCATAATCTGAAATGCTATGCCTAGCTACCTGAGATGGGGGAATTGTGTACTCTTAATATTCTATGTTCAGGAACAATTAAAAAGATGGTAGTTGGAGATCCCTAGGACAATTACTCTCAGCCTCTCTGCGGGGTGATACAGAGACATAGCCACACTTACAAATGCACAGACTGGATGCTTGGAGTCTTGGGGGGTGGAGATGGGGAGGGACGGGGGCAGGGGTAGTGAGCAGAGGGCCCACCTGGTGTCTGCGCCGAAATGCGCGATGCTTTAAAGAGCCGAAACTTGGGCGACCCATTCTCCACCCGCTCCTGGGGTCCCGCACCTCACGCCTCACCCAGGAAAGGTGTACCCACTTTACCCACGAATTCCCAGCAACCACACAGTAACATATGGTCTCTGACGCTGCCTCGGATATAGGCGCTTCCGACTCCCAACGGACGCTTAGCAACCCCTGGCTTCCTCCCCCGCCGGCCGCCTCCGCGATCCAGTTCCGGGGCAGAGGTCATCCCGTCCCGCCCGCGGTTCCTCCAAGATGGCGAGCGGCGGCGGCGGCGGCGGCGCTGGGGGGGCGTCGGTGCCTGCGCTCTGGAGCGAAGTGAACCGTTACGGCCAGAATGGGGACTTCACGCGCGCTCTCAAGACCGTCAACAAGAGTAAATGTCCGGGCGGGCGCCGGGGCGGGCCGGGCCGGCGGAAGGATGCGGTCTCCTTCCGGCGCGCGCGACCCCCTCTCTCCGAGGAGACGCCGGGGAGGGAAGACCCCGCCGCCAGCCCCGGGCTCGCACCCCTGGCGGCCGCGGTGGGGTGGGGTCGCGGCTCCGGCTGCTGAACTAGCCCTGGGTTTGGGGGTGTATAGAGAGCCACGTGTACTTCCCCCTTGACACCCTTAGGTGGCGAGGGAGGGATTTAAAGAGACCGCTGCTGCAGCGCCTCTTCCAGACCGTCCTCTCCTGGGACGCCTCTGTTCTCACGCCTCTGTTCTCACGCCTTCACTTCGCACCTGGTCCCCGCCACCTTCTCCTCTGCCGTTTCACTGTGGTCGGGACGGGGCCGGGGCGGAGGTAGCCTGTTCCCCGGGCCTCCTCCGCGGCGGGAGGGACCCGCCTGGGACACGTCATGTGGAAGCTGGCGCTGACGAGGGGGAAGCTGCCGGCCGGAGGGAAGGAAGGGCTGAGACCTACCCCAGGCCTGCACCCCCACAGGGAGAACCCCCCCGAGAGATGAGACCAGAAAATGTGTCTGGGAAAGCACTGACATTGGAAATCACGTCGGAAGAAAAGAAAAAATAAGTCTTTTTTTTTTTTTTTTTTGGTCCCATAACTGAGAATTTCCGATAAACTGCCTTCAGTATGAAGTCTATTCGTTATGTTCTTTTATCCTTTATTACTTAACTGTAATAGGGCTACGCTTTTTAAAAAAATCTTCATTTGTTCAGATTATTACAATTTTCTCCTCCCCCCCCCCCCGAAGCTCCCCTCCACCTGGTCCCCACTCCACCCTCTTCCCTTATTTCCCCCCCTCCCCGTCCTCATCTATAGGTATATGATTTTTGTCCATTCTCTTCCCATACCCCCTCACAGACACCTCTTTCCACCTGAGAATAGGTCTCTGCTTTTTAATGCTCTCTGTCGTGCTGAATTCTTTATTGAAGATGCCGCCTATATTTGGTAGGTTTGGAAATGAAATGAACAGGACAGAGTTTGCTATTTAAAGCAGTAATGACATAAAAGGTATGTAAGTACAATAAAGGCTGTATAAGTAATTTTCACCAACCTGTTGTTGGTTTAATGTGAGAAGAAGCGATTGTGCTTTGGTGATTTCAGATATTGAGGAAAACAGATGCCAATTAGAATGATTGGATCCCTAAACTTGTTTTGAATTAGGGCTAGCTTTTGGCTAGGCCTGCAGCCAATACTGCGCAGTCACAATGTAGTAAGTTATAGGAACTGTCTAGCAGCTCTCAGTTTGTTATCCAGTACAGTATATATTTTCTTCGATGGCAGAAGGCTGTGACTCTTAGAATTGGGTTCTTGTAGTTGCCCAGACGCAAGGGGAGTGATCCTAGTCATTTTGACACTGAGCAGATGTTTAGGATTGAAACGTGGCTATCTGAATTGTCTTTGTACTTCTCGTTGGTCATTTTAGGTGAAAAGGGGAATTCTGAATGTTTCTTTGAGACTATTGCCAGTAAGATAAATTGCACTTGTACTTTACAGCCTATAAATATCGCCAAAATGTTCTCACTTCATCTTCTTGATAACCTTGTAAAATAGATAATGTTTTCATACTCGTCTTGCAGATCACAAGATTAATATTTGTAGTTGGATGACTTGCCCAAGACCTCAAGGCATCCAAT